GTTGAACAAGTCCATGCAAATGACCCCTGACCTTTCCCTGGAGTGGAGTCAGGGCTAATCACCCAGGGAGGCACTGCACTCAGAGGCAGGGGAGAGTTAGTGCTGTTGGAGAAGTCTGGGGCAAATGTTAGGACAGGACAGACAGGACCTCAAATCGGTTTTGCCACTCAGACACCAAGGATCCTCAAGTCTTGACAAAGCTGGCCTTTCTAGACCTTGCGGATGATGGCTGGGGTTGGGAGAGTCAGGTTAAATTTCCTGACCTACTTATCCCAGCCTGACTGGGGCCACTTTTCAGTCAAACCACAAGTCTCAATGAGGCATTGTGTCTGTGCAGGTGTGTGTGTGTGTGTGTGTGTGTGTGTGTGTGTATGTGTATGCATGTGTGTTCATGCATGTGCAGGGGCGGACACATACATGGGTGCAAATGGATTTAATGAAACAACTCCTTCCAGGGCTAGTTTCAACCTGAATTTTAAAAATAGGGGAAACACGGAAAAGACACTCTGAAACATACTTGAACAAAATGATTATTCAAAGAAAGAGAATTTGTGCTTAAAATATGAGAAATGTCTTTATGAAGTGCTTAAAAAGAAATCAATAATGCCCCCAAATTTTCCATAAAAGCCATAAAGCATGGCAAAATCCTGAAACGTTAGGCATGTGTTTAGAATATATCCATATAATCTGCCAGTATCAAGCATGTAATGATTTTAATTAGCTTCATTGAACACAATTACTAACATTAAAATCAATAATCGCAGGACTCCTTTCTGATGCCGTACTTTCACTTTCTGTCGTGCTCTTCAATGTGCATCCAGCACGCCTCCTTGGAAAACACGCCCAAGCGTTAGCCAAATGAATGCGTAGGAATATAATAGGGTGCAGTGTTCTCAAAAGCATTCCCATGTAAGGGTTGGACTTGGAGGCCAAGATAATGTCACACTGACAAGGAAAAACCACTGGGCTTGGATCTTTACTGCCTTTTCCAGGCTTCTAGCGTTGTGTGGAAATGACATTGTTTCTCCAGGAAAGCCAGTTCATTATGAAGCACGCCCATCTTTTGCCTGGTCTGTGAGGGACATCAGTGTACCTAGGTTTCCAGGTCTTCTGTGAGAAAAGAGAAGATCCTAATTTTTGATGCTGCAAAAATATCAGCTAGCCGGCGCATTAGCTATCTTCAGGTTGACAAGAATGCGGGATTAAGTTTCTTAAGGCAATTACACTTTTGATGACCCCTCTGCATATAAAACATGTTAGCTAACAGGGGTGCGGAGGGGCAGGCCTAAGTGTTTGATCAGGAAATCCTGCGTGAGCATATTGGATGGAAATTTGATTAGTAGCCTTAGTGACGGGCGATCAGATCCTCCGGGTCTGCGCAATCAGATCTGGCAGGGCTTGCCTTCTTGCCTCTTTGAAGGAAGCGAACATTTGTACAGAATCAAGACACTGCTGGATCCTTGATTTTTTTTTCTCCCTGGGTCTGTTTCTTTAAGTTATTACAGACTAAAGCTGGAGACCTACCTTTCCTTTTCTTTCAGCAATATGTTTGCAGTTACCTTAATGTGGAGGAACAAAATAAAAATCGCTCTTCCCCTGAAAATGTGAGGCAGGAGAAACAGAAATACAAATTTTTTAAAGGAGGGTGACGCAGAACGAGACAGGGAGAAGGTCACCATAAGAACAATGACAGAGGCGGACACACAAAAGCTTCTTATCACACTTGAAGCCTGGCCTCCAGCTTTCCAAACAACCCGCACAAGGACTCCACTTTACCGAGGAGATTCATAACTCAGAGACCCCGGACTGGCCCAGGGCAAGCGCGAGATTTGAAGCTGGGCCAGCTCTGTGCTTTAACCGAGCCCCACGCTGTAAGCGGGGACATTGAATTCCCGAGAAATGTAGACACCTACAGTGAGTCATCTGCACCTGAAACCGTCCCCTTACCTCCCCACCTGGAGCCTGGAAACATCACCCTCCTTTGTCAGACTGTCTCGGTTCATCTTACACGCAGCTCATGCTGTGACCTTGGGATCATGAAGAAGCCGACTCGTGGTTAAGACAGCTGGGGGCAGAAATAGGGGGACTTCGATCTCGTATATGTCTCACCCCAAAGTCCCTTCTCCTCTCTGGAAAAAATAAAAGGCTCGGTGGAAGAAGGAAAGACTTAACTCCAGCATTATTTGGGGGCCAAACAGGAATTAAAACAGGAATTTACACTGCACAAATTTACTAATTCATTCGTTTAGTACAATAACAAGATCAAATCCCCATAATAGGTGTAGTCAGTGAAGGCAGCAAAGTGAAGCTCAGCTCTGTGAGCAGTCCCTGCCCGATGCAGCCTTTAAAAGATGCACTGCACTTTCTAGAATACAGTCACACACGCCCAATATATTCTGTCTCACGTTTCTCTGTTACAGGTGAACTGTGAGGTCCCCAGGTCCCCCTGTGAGTGTGATCCATGAACACATATATTTATAAAGGAAGCTAAACAAAATTGTCCTGCAGCCTTTCACCAGAAGAAGTGATCAACATGGAGCCGCGATGGCCTGCCTGAGTCAGTATTCTGAGAAAGCCACCACACCACTTCAGCCTGAAGCCTGACGAGAGGACAAGATCCAGAGCAAATGCAAAACGTTATTGCTTTCTGGGGAAGTAATAACAGGGGCAGGGGGACGCCACACGTACACACTAGCTCACCTCAGCCCCACCTCAGCCCCACGGACAGACACCATTACGCCCTCTCTCAACTGGAAAGCTGGTCTCGGCCATTCAAAATCTCTTCCTTCTTGTAGGTTCATACCATATAAGTAGAATGTGTTTGCAAAGTACAACAGGACAGTGAGATTATAAGACAGCAGCTTATACTTCTTGCAATAGGAAAGAAGACCCGTACAAACGTACGTTAGTTATTCTGTGTCTGGATGAACTGAGTTGATCCCATCAAGTTCAAGCGTTTCCTGTGAAAGTCTTTAATCCATTATAAAAATACCTCAGAGAAGAGAAGGCAGAAGCACTCCTGGCCCCACTATCCAGACAGAGCCACCGCTGGCGTTAGCAGCACATTTTATTTATTCAGACACTATCTGTCCAATATATAATTATAATCATCGGGCATAATCAACGTTTTTGAAAAGCAGAAAGAAAAATCTAACATCAACCCTTAGAGAAAATTCAGGAAGAACAAACAAAGTACAGAGAAAGTAAGAAAATGCCCCACAGCCTACCCCTCAGCAAGAAACTCTTTTAGTCGGGATTCAGACTGGATCCCCTCTCCAGTGCCAGGTCCTGGGCTCCAGGACCCTGTTGTCCTGTCTCTGTCCTGGGACGGGGGATATGGGAGGGTCCTTACATTAGTGCTGCAATGTCTGTCCCTCGACCTGGGGCCTGCACACCCAACCTACAGCCGTTCATCCTCTTGGCTACTTTATGTCAAAATATTCATATTTGTTTTTGACTTATTACCTAATGTCTTTTGTCAGTCACCCCCCCCCCTCCACACACACACATCACCTCATTTTAACTATTATGGTCCTAATTACAGCAGAGGATTACAGAATGACCAAATTGGGAGGGCAGCCCCAGACCATACTCAGGAGGCCCAGCCTCGCTCTTACAAAATGGGACTCTTTTTTTTTTTTTTAACACCATCCAATGATGTCACCCGTTTGCGGTTTCTCTGGGACTTTATTAAAATGTTTGTGACGGAGCCAATGTAAACCATCCTAAATCCAACACAGAGCTGAAAGGACTGATTTTAGGGAATGTGAAGATATGGATCATTGGGCCTGTCGAAGCCCCATCTTGAGCCAATTATTGGTGTCATCTTGAGCCAATTTAATCAATCCAAGAGGGATTGGGGGTGGAAGGGGGCATGAGCGGGGGTTGAGAGCGTTGGTCAAACGTGCTGGCTCAAATGCTCATGTCATGAATAGACAGCGCCCGGCTCTCTGGCTCTGGGCTGCTGCTCTAACATGGACACTAGTCCCAGGCTTTCCTGTGCCATGCTGTTTCACTGTGTGGTTGGGTTTATTTCATCCCTGAGCACTGCTGGCCTAAGCCCCAGAAAGCCTTAAAAAGGTCACTTCTCCCTCTGGGGACAACATCAGGGAAGCCTCCTTAACAGACTCTACTGACACCTGGGCCAGTCGGGAGACCCAGGGAAACTGCTTCTCTAGCCCCTTTACCCCATACAAATGGGACCAGAAAAAGATCTTAGGAGTTGACCCCAGCTAGTAGCCTGGTCTGTTAATTACTCCTTAAGAGTTTTCTCATTTTTTGAAATAAATTGGGTCCCCTCTCTAGCATAATAAATCATAAAGTGGGTGTTTTTCTCACTTAAAAAAAAAAGACAACTAGAAAGCAAAGGCTTAGAAGACGCACTATCCCTGCACATTATTTGACCATGCCAAACACTAAAGTACCCTCAAGTGGGTGACTGCTACAAATACAGGTAAGACAGACAGGGAAAAATCCCAATTTCCCTCACATATCTGCAGGAAGAGGTTGACATATGCAACACCCATTATTGTTTATGCATACAGTTATGTTATTTCTCCATGGTCCAAGGGACATGTCGGGCGGCACTGGGCCTGGTTTATCCATCAGCAGTCCCACCCAGTCTCCTGGGTTCTCCCTGCCATCTAGCTTTCAGAGGACTCCTCTTCCCCACTCCCTGGGCAGCTTTTTGTATTTTTCACATTACAAAAAGGGCCCGAGGCTGCCTGGTGTGTGTAGGTTATGTGTTTTTATGAATAACATCCATAAATATTCTTAATCAATTCTCCAGAGCTGGCTATTTGTCCTGGGTGTAGGTGCTGCACGAGCCTGGCCAGGTTTGGAAAGGCAAGCAGGAACCCCAGTCACTGTGCCCCTCTGTGTGAACTCCAGTCCACGGAACTGGTAATGTGACTGTTTTCACCCCTGTGGAATGAAGAGTGGGGCTCTCTCGAGTTCTGGAATGCACACTCACTGTCGGCTCACAATGAAGGTCTCAAAACCTTAAGCCAGGCCTGAAAGAATGCACATCTGACAGCAGCCCCGATCCGATGCTCCCAAATTGAATGGCTCTCAGGAACTCTACCTCCTTGACCCCGAGAGTTATTTTCAGAACACAATGGATGTTGAATTCATCTCTTCCTATAATATGCGATCCGAATGTTGTTTTAACTTGCTTCCAGAGACTTTGCTTGCTAAAGTTATAGTTTCTGCAAGCCTCAGAGTCTCCCAGGATAATGTGGGAGACTCATCACTCCCAAGGTGTGAGAAACAAGTCCAGAATGAACTTTAATCAGTATGACCTCTGAGGAAGAGTAGGAAAGAAGCTTGGAGAGGGACTCATAGAATCTCACAGCCTGAGTCTCCTGAGAATGTGCAAGTCTGTTTGGAAGCCAGGCTAATCCTACCTTTCAATTATAGAAGGAAACGGATTTTTTAAAAGAAAGACTCAAGGTGGGTCCTCTGAGCTTGAAGATCAAACGCTCTGGTGCTTTCAACAAGCCAACGCTACTGCCCTTCTCAAAGCGGAGGCCAGCCGGGACTGCAGGGTTTGTAAACATCGCTCTGCTATTTATTGGAGCTGCCCACCCGAATCCAAACCTTCGTCTCTTCACGCGTGGCCTATTTACTGCACTGCAAGTGAGCGTGCTGCAGCCCGGCCCGGGTCTGCAATTTATTACTTGCTTCGAGAGCTCAGACCCAGAGTTTAAATGTCCCTAGTTGAAAGTTTATACCAGTCAGGACAGAAAATTATTCTCTCTGCCTAGGTTGAAGCACATTACTTCTTTATTGAATTAATTATGATAAGGATCATAACTTTAAACGAGGGGTGAGGTGCTGGCTCTCCGCTGGGATTGCTTGGAGCAATTTTCATCCAAGCATTTTTGTAGAGTTATTGAGTCTGGCAGGTCTGAACTTTGGAGAGAAGTAACTTTCTCCAGAACTTGAAAGGGGTTGGACATTGATCCAGGCAAAGCTGTACCAGATTCCATGTCTTGAGACAGGGAAATTTGCACTGCACGCTGAACAAATCACCGCGGGAGCGGATGAAAGACAGCTTAGCGGCTCCTCATGTGGCCTGAAGCTTGGCCTTTCCCGGGCAGACCTGGCCCAGGGAGGGCAAGGGACAAACCGGGACAGAAAGGTCTCCAGCAAGTCCGTCCTCCCCTCCCTCCCAGACATCCAGTCCCAGCCTGCACTGGCAGGGTTACATGAGTGGCGTACTGGATTCTGACAGGATGGGGTAAGAAGAGATGAAAACGAGGGGCACAGACCCCAGGGTCACACAGAGCTGAGCCATTTACTAATTGTGTGACATGAATGTCCCTTCATATCTTTGTCCCCTCATCCAGCAGCTGTGGACTAATTTAAGGAGTGTGCATGTGCATATATGTGTGTGTGGATGCTATTTCTCACATATATTTAATATACCAAGATGTATGTATTTTATACATAAATATTTTGCAGGCATAAATATCTATAACCTGGAAATTAGGTGGGGCTAATTAAAGATATAGTTACATAATTACTATTGCTATTATTGTCAGGAAAACACAAAGAAACGTTAATCATATTTCTTTGAGCTATACTCTCCCAGCTCTGGCACGGCTTTGTTGGCTCTCAGCTGCAGGCACAGGCCTCCATGCCACCAGCTGGATTGGGCTCTGGAGTACATGTACTCCCCAAACCCCAAAGTTGGGATTTTTGCTGACCAAGCTCTCAAGAGCTATGTGGCCATTCCTGGATGCTTGAACTGGCCCCACTCACACTGGTACTGGATCCCTGTTGTCCATATTAACAGGCTTGGCCAGAGGAGAGCAGATATTCCCCAACACACTGTCACACTTAGACAAGCCAACACTGATGGAGAAAGTCCAGCCCACAACTCAGACGAGGGTAACCATATAATTATCAATTACAGTACAAACAAGGACAATTAGGGGACATTACAAGGGGCTACTGCTCATAGTTAATCTGGGACAACATGTATAATGAGGACTCTTCCAGGAAACATTATAGGTCTGAGACCACATTTACCAACCACGGCAATGTGAGAGATGGGCAAGGGATGTAGTTAGTTCAGTTTGTAGAGTGCTTGCCCAGCACACACAAAGCCCTGGGCTTGACTCTAGGACTTCATTAAACAAACAAACAAACAATAATGAAATAGCCTGGTAGTATGTGGCTATAATCACAGCACTTGGGAGTTACAGACAGGAGGATCAGAAACTCAAAGTCATCTTGAGCTACCCAGCAAATTCAAGGCCAGTTTGGGCTAGATAAAATCTTATCTCAAAAGAAAAGAGGGCTGGAGAGGTGGTTCAGTGGTTAAGACCACTTGCTGCTCTTGCAGAAGACCCAGGTTTGATTCCCAGCACCCACATGGTCCCTCACAGCTACCTCTAACTCCAGTTTCAGGGGATCCAACACCCTCTTCAGGACTCCAACAGGAATCAGCCAAGACTGGTTCTTTCTAGAGTCTTCCTCTCTCAGAATTCGGGGGGTCAGAGCCATGTTGCCTATAGTTTTTAATCTATCAAAAAGAGGGTACCATGTCTGGGAACAGGGCAAGGCTGGCCCTCGGAAGAGTGAGCTGGTGCTGAGCAGGTGGTCTGGCCAGGGGGCCACCCAGCACTGCCCTCGTTCCCTCAGAACTAGGCCCTAGAGCCAAGCCGTGCTCCTGTACCAGAAGGCCAGAAGGGCCTCTTCCTCCCTGAGGGCTGGCAAGAGGTGAGCATGGAGCAGATATCAGGTTTCTCAGCTTCCTGCAGGACAGGGCAAACAAGATTGTTTGGTCTCAGAGGGGCAATAAGCTGAACGTGTCAACAGGTTCTGGGGGGGCTGGGAGCTGCATGGAATGTGACAGGAGAGAGAACATGTCAGACTTTGAACAGGGTGACCTGCTTCATCCTTTGCCATCCATTCCCATGCAAAGATCTAAAGCTTTGCAAGAAAAATCAAAAACAAAAGCCAAGACCTTATTTACATTAAAATGTGAACGACTAAATGCTCCTGACGAATTACACTTAATAGAAAACATGTAAATAGAGATTTTCAATGCAGGCCTCCAGGCACCACTCCCCTCAATGTTCAAATGTACGCATGGGCACGAAGACTTGGTTTCCCATCCTGACCAGACTACCAAGTATTTCTTAAGACTCTCTCTTCCTGCCAGACAGTTATGCTACTTGTAGGTCACTAAGGTATCCCCATTTCATTTATTTAACTGTCTTAAATTCATCTGTCAAGATTTCACCCCAACTGCCTCCTCTTCCAAGTTTTCCCATCCTACCCCAGCCCACCCCAGCCCACCCCACCATGCCCTCAAACCAGGCTGGACTGGGAGCTGCATGTGCACACTCTTCCAGAGGGTTCCTAGCCATGCTTGAGTATTCTCACTGTCTAGTCTCATTCCCTGGCCTGACTGCTCTTCCGGGGTAAGGCCTGGTTAACAATCCATGCTGAGAAAGCTTTTTCCCCACTGCATAAAGAGGTGAGATCCCCATACCGGAATGTGTGGACCCCAGCACCATGGACAAGAGCCCAGGTGTGGCATAAATGTGCACCCTAACAGGTGCACCCCCTCTCACCGAAGGCTCTCACCAATTCCTTAGGACATCATTTTGTCCGTTGTTGCTTGCCAAGGGAGCAAACAGCATCAGGAGTTTGGAGAACAAAATGGCAGAGACCCTGTACCTCTCAGCACAGAGGCCCTGGAAATGCATGAGCTGAAAGATGTAAAACTAGTTAGCAAATAACCGTGTGTGGATAATGACCTCTCAGATTCTCACCCATCACCGCCCTCCTCATCACTTCCAGGCAGGCAAAGGGCTCTTTGGATCACATGAATTACTGATCAGAGTACCAGCTGCTTCTCTTCTCTCACCTCCAGACCTAGGGTCTATCTAGAGCCCGAGCCTGAGCCTGCGTCCAGCACTACAGGAGCTGCCCAGAATATACCAACCCTAAGCAGATATGTGCCCGTCTGCCCACCAACCAGCGCGTGTGTGCGCACACACACACACACACACACACACACACACACATATATATATATATATACCCATGCATAAACACACACATACACTCACACTCACATAGAAGAAGGGACCAACAGCATTGGCTCTACATGTATCTCATACGGGTATGAGTCCTAGGCTCCATGCATACTTCCAAGCTGGGTGACCTTGGACAAGGTACTTAACCCCTCTTGTCTCCATTTTCTCATCCAAAATTGGTAGGGAAATAGTTCTTCGAACCTCACAGGAATGGGCTAAAGATTAAGCCACCCAATGCTGTCTAGCCATTGTAAGCACACTAATATGTGCCGCTGATCATGGCTCCGTGTCCCGCACATACAACCCCACTCTTAATCGTGGACTCTCATAACTTAAAAATGCCCTGAGAGGAAGGATGGTGAAGGTTCGACCCATCTTCAGTCAACACACGGAATGAGCCGAGCCCAGGGGAAGCTGGATGGGGCGGGACGCTACATTGTCTTGAACACACAGCCAAGTTTGGGTACAGGCAGAGTAACCAGTGTGACAATGGCAATTGCTGTAGTAAGTCAGGCAAGGTAAGGCAGGGAGGGTAGTAATAATTCATCTGTGGGCAATCATGGAAGACTTCTTGGAGGAGAGTGCATCTAAGTAGCCACACTTAGTGCCAGGTCAGTCATGACAGAGTGAGGAGGCTGGGACAGACAGGCTGCGGTGGCTCACGTTGTTCACAGTTAATTATACCAATCATCATACGCACTAACAACTATGCCTGAGCACTTTCCCACTGACCCAGCATGTTAGCCCTATTATCTCAGCTCCAGGAGAGGGGCGGGCTATGTGAGTTTTCTTCACAGTTGGATTCTCTAGACCAGTGGTTCTCAACCTTGCTAATGCTGTGACCCTATAATACAGTTCCTCATGCTGTGGTGACCTTCAACCATAAAGTTATTTTCGTTGCGACTTCAACAGTAATTTTTCTATTGGCATGAATCATAATGTAAATATCTGATATGCATGATATCTGATATGTGACCCCTGTGAGAGGGTCATTTGACTTCCAACGGGGTCACTACCCACAGGTTGAGAACCACTGCTTTAGCGCCTAGGAGGTGCCAATAACGGTTTGTAGACCCAATAAAGCTCAAATGCCACTGTAAAGTTGGGTCTAAAGCAATCCCCATTTTACAGAGAAGGAAGCTGAGGCATGGAGGAATCAAGTAGCCCACTGAAGGAGGCCCCATATAGGCTCCTGAAGCCGAGAGGAACGGGACCAAGCTTTGTCAGTGGACATGGCCCTCCCTATAACTCACCCTCCACACACTAGCCAAGTCACCATTCAGGTACTCTATGGGCGAGGCTGACCTGTGGAGATGTCAGCAGTCAGAGCAGCTGCAGCCCCTTGTATTTGGGAAGGACCAGGTCACGGGACATGGGGACACCACCACATGGGCTCTGTGAGCACAGGGGAGGCAGGGTGCCCACTGCCTACCCTGCCCACAGCCAGGGCTGCTGGCCCAGCAGCCTGTGTTGACATTTCTCCCTCTGTCTGGAGACACAGATTGAAATTATCTCCTCCTAGCCGTGTCAGCCCGTCCTGAGCTGTGCCTCCAGCCCCACACCCTCCCAGCATACCCTGGATAATCCCAGCTGGAGCCTGATAACCATGGCTGCGTGGCGTGGGCTCTGATGGGGTGGGAGGGGAAGGCCATCCCATTCCCTGACCTAGGCTGCAGTGAAATCTTTGTTCAAGCTGTCTCCCTTGACCGAGAACTGGGGGACTGGATGGGGACAGGGTGGGGGCGGGGTGGGGGCAGGGAGTGAGCTCAAGCTAAACCCGGCCACAGAGGCACAGAGTGCATTAGAGAGAGCTTCTACAGATCCCCGCAGGAGCAGAGGCTACTGCCAACCCCAGGCATCCACATGGTAGTACAAGTCACTTGATAGGAAGGAAACTTCCAGGGAACACAAAAGATGCCAAGCCTCCTCATCCTTCACTATCAAACTCCATAGCTTTGTGATATAAGTGTTTGCTGTGCAGCCCTGAGCTGATTCCTTTCCCTCTCTGGGCCTTAGTTACTTTATTTAGACAGTGAGGGACTAGGGTAGGTGATGGATGACACACAGCGGGTTGTGTGTGACAGGCTCTTCTCAGCTCCCTAGGGACAAAAGTCAGACCTCATTCTCATCTGTGACCAAAGCAGCAGGGAGCAAATGCCAGTGCTCAAAAGTGCTCAAGGAGTTTGTTGACTGAATACATGACCAAGGTCTGCCTGTCCTCCTCCTTTGCCAGTCACAAGCTCCACTTCAAGTGGTCGGGACACTTGGAGCTGATTTGAGTGTCCCCAGTAGCACAGGTCTCAGTGAAAATCATTCACAGCACCATAAGAACTCACGAGCTGGTGACGGCCATCAATATTATGCTGTCACGTATGCTTATCCACACTAAAGTCTCAAGAGCAGATAGAAAATGGACAGGTCTCTTCTAGAAGCATTCTAAGAAGTCACAGTCACGGAGAACAAGCGTCCCATAGTCCTCTGCCTGGGTCCTGGCATGGGAAAGAGGCAGGGCAAGCTTCCCAGCAAGGAGGCAAGAACCTGAGACCAAGACCATGTCTTAAAGAGACGGGGAGGTACTGAAACAGGGCAGGGTCTCGCCAATGCCTGTCACATCTGTGCCGAGGGTGTGTGTCCACCAGCACCTTGAGAAAGGTCTGGGTTGCTTCCTATGCCATGGGACAGGGGCAGAGGTGCCTGCTGTGTGTACTGTGTAGCAGGAGCCACATTTGGCCTAGAACCAAGCACCAAAGCTAGAAACTACCAAAGGGCTGCCGTAAGCTAAGCGTCAACACACAGAACAATTAAAGGCACTGGACGGAATGACCAGAGTGCGACACAGCACTGGATGCCTAATCATACTTCAACATTCTGACGAGGACCTTTGCTCCTGATAGTACAGTGGACTTGATATTCTTTAAGAGTTAAAAAGGTCCTGGATTAACTATGTCAAATACCTTGTTTAACGCAGAGCTGAATTTGGAGTAATAAGACTCTGCACATGTCAGAAGGGATGACAACACAGGATTTCAGTTTGGAGAGGCAGTGTTGTGGCGGGGCAGCCTCTGGGTGTAAGCTGACACCAGCGTGGGGAGTCTCAGGGCTGAGGCAACAGAGGAAAGAAGCCCTTGGGCATGGTCACCCCAACCCAGCGTCAAAGTTGGGTTCCTTGAAGGCCTACACCCTCAGCCAGAGGATAAACTAGAAGAAGAAAAAAGAGTCTGCCACCAACAAAGGAAGACAAGATGACACAACTGCCTTGGCTTATGTCCAAGTAGAAGAAATAAAAATAAAAATAAAATAAAATAAAATAAAATAAAATAAAATAAAATAAAATAAAATAAAATAAGGAACCCACTAACAGACAGGCTTAACCACAGCCTTGCACTCTGTGAGTCTGGGGTTCAAATTTACCCACCTGTTCATCCTGGAAACCAGATGATCCCAAGCAGGCCACTCTCTGCAGCATCCGAAAGGAAGATGGAAACTCCCTGTGGAGAAGTCATAAGCCATCCCACAGGTCCTGCAGGCTCCCTATGGAGCTAGAGTCGGGCAAACAGAACTCACAGAAAGTTAAGGTGTAGGACCCCTGAGAACAGCAGGAAGCAGCTGCTAAGAGAGTCCCCGGAAGGACTTCAGACTCTGGACTGATCAAAAGAACAGATGAGATTTCTAGGTTTAAAACATTTAATGAAGTAAAACAGAGAATTGAAAACTCAATCCAGAAACGGTGACTTAAACATGACCATTTGGGAAATAAACAAAAACCTCTTCAAACAGAAACAAATGACTGAAATGTAAGTCTAAGGAAACTAATGGAGGAGACGAATAGAGACTGGTGAGTGGGAGGCTGGATGCAAAGCATTGACCGTACAGCCCAGGGACGGAGAAACGGAAAATGCCAGAGCCTGGCTGGAAAGTCTGGTGGGCTCTAACGGAACTGTGGAGAAGAGATTCAGGAGCAGGCAACCTCTGAAGAAATGATGGCTGGCCATTTCAAAACTAAAGAAAGACACAAATCACTTGATCTGGAAACCCCAGAAGACGGAATGAAAGGGAACTCGCAAGCAGACACTCCGTGGTGAAAGTGCCGCAGACAAGAAAGTTAGTTAGGAATGCGGGGCAGTCGGACAAGAATGAGGAGGCCACTGCATCACAACACTGAGGGGGGACAGTGGGGCAGCGTCTGCAGCATCCTAAAGGGCTACCCGGAACTCTAAGCCCGTTTAACTGTCACCCAGGAATAAGAGCACAGGAGTCGGCTCAGACAAAACACTCAGTTGGCAGCTCACACTTCACTAAAGGACCCAAGAAGGCAAATGATCTCAGAAAGAACATCTAGGAAGCAAGAGGCATTCTTTGTTTTGTTTCAGATGGCATCCTGATACACAGCCCAGATTGACCTTGAACTCAGCATCCCTCTGCTTCCACCTCCCGAGAGCTGGGTTACTACGTATGCCATTATGCCCAGCTTGTAAGAGGGAATTGAAAACAGTATGTGTAGAGAAAGTTAAACAGATGCCAGTTCTATTAAATGCTAACAACAGTGGACAGTGTTGGGATAAAAAAAATTAATTTGGAATGAAATTCATGGCCAGTGAAAGCAAGTGAGACATAATGGGCAGGAGGAGGCTATTTGCCTTTACTTATTAAAAGCACATTCTAAATCGTGAAGAAGAATCAGCAAAATGAGAGAATGAACTGTCAAAGTCAATGAAAGGAAGCAAGTGGAATTTCAAAAAATCTTACTCAAAACTGAGTCCCCGACTTTGAGGGTCTGAGTCTGAGCAAGCGGCACGAACTCTGGGAGGGCAGAACTGCGCTGACGGCATTTTCAGTGTGCACGGAGAGCGAGGCTCAGGGAAAGTGGTGGGAAGCGGGTTGTCCTGGTTACTTCAGCTGCTCCGGAGGACAGCTTGCCACTGGCTACCAACACTCTTCTTTCACTCTGGGCCCTTAGCCCCAGAAGCATCTTGAATGTCCATTAATAGAGAAATGGCCAGGAGGATGGATGCTTCTGTGCAGTATAGAGGAGAACAGAGTAAATAAATACACTGTGCTCCATTATCCATTATTGAACATTCCCTAAACACACACACACACACACACACACACACACACACACACACACACCACATACACACACCACACACACACACACCACATACACACACACACACCACACACACACTCATACACACACACCACACATACACACACACCACACACACACA